CACACACGAATCAGCAAGGGCATTCAATCCAGGAGAAACCTCAGGGCTCACCAGTCACCGCAGAAGCAGCAAGAAGGCACAGCAACCTCACGAGAAGTTCTCTGGCGAGTTTCTCTCTATGACGTCACCACAAGCAAAGCTCAGCAATGCAGAGTAAAGCGAACCAATACACGTGTGTTGTCAGCAAAGACTAGCGAGGCAGAGCGAGGCAAACCAACTCCCACTGTCTGTGAGGCCATATTTATAGTCTTTCTAAACATCACACATCCTTTCACATGTCTGCTATAGCAAAACATTCTTCCACCTGTGTCTGCTTTCACATTCTTTCAGGTGTCCAAAGAAACCAGAAGTTTCCACTTGAAGTTGCTTTCTGTCAGGGTATTTTTCTACAGCAACAGAAAAGAAACTAGGGTGTTAGGAGACAGGAGCTTTAAGAGATGAGGGCACACGGGGTCAATCTTTCTGCGGTGAAATCAGGCAGCAGGAGAGTCCTTGCCACGTGCCAGAACTCTGACCTTGGGCTCCCAGCTCCCAGGGCTGAGGAATGAATTTCTGTTGATTGTGACTCAAGCTGTGGTGCTTCAACCTGGCAATAAGCCCGCCCCCTGCTCTTCCTGCCATGGTTGGGTCTGTGGAGAGTAAACAGAGGGAGACGTTCTCAGCTGCCTCTGCATCACTCTGGTCTCATGGCTTAGAGCCACTCTAGGGTTCTAGTAACTCATATTTTTGTACTGTTTTTAATAAAAAGAACCTTTATGTGTTTTCTACTCTCTAAATGCTTTGTATAGAAATAGAAATTGGCTGTTCCAAGAAAAGACCGCAGAAGCCAGTTGCAGCCCTGCACATCTGAAATCCCAGCACTAGGGAGGTAGAGGGAGAAGGGAAGGTAACCAGGAAATAATCAAGGTTGTTCTCAGCCACAGAGAGTGTAAGGCTACCCCGGGCTAAGGAGACCCTGTCCCCCAAACATGAGAGCCCAGCAAGGGAGGGAAAGGAAGAAAGAAAATATGGCTGAAATCTCCAGCGTCCTCCAGCCTTGGCTCTCCCTCGGCAGACAGCCTCTGGCTACTATCTACCATCTTCTGGTTTATCCGTGTGTGTTCCAGATATCTGTTTTATTTGCCTATATCACATGTCAAGTTTATAAAAATGTCAAGTCTGTTTGTGGTATTATTTTCAGATCCTGTGTGCTTTCAATCTCTCTCCCTCTCCCTCTCCCTCTCCTCTCCCTCTCTCACTCCTATTCCCCCCCCCTCTCTCTCTTCCTCCTTTCCTTTCCTCTCTTCCTCTTTCCTTATCCCTCCTTCCTTCTCTCTTTCCCTTTTTCCCTCCCTCTCTCCTTCCCTCCTTCTCTCCCTCCCTCACCCTCCCTCCTCCTCTCTCCCTTTCTTCTCCCTCCCTCTCTCTGTCTCTTTTCATCCCTTCCTCTCTCCCCCTCTCCCAGTCACTTCCCAGAAGTCCAATCTTTTTTAAAGTTTTTAAGGGTAAACCTAGGGAAACGGAGGCATGGACGGGGAATTGGGGGTCCTAAGAAGGTGGAGGATAGGAAACTAAAATACAGAAATGTATTTCTCAGAGTTGCCCAGGCTGAGACATGTTTACTTTTTACACTAGATTTGAGGTTTATTCAGCAACTGTAGGTTTTGCCTACTCTGGCTGTTCCCTTATGATCGTCTCTCTCTGTGTTCACGAGGTGGGTGAGGGCAGGGACCCTCTCTGGCTCTCCCTCCAGCTCTGCCTCTTAACTGCTCAGCTCCTGTCACTTCCTCTCTGGTTTCCTGACCAGTGTGTTTACAGCCATCAGTCTCCGCTTCAGCTGCCTCACTGAGTGAGCCAATCTCATCTTATTATCACATCTTCTATGTGTTTCTTCTTTCCCTTAAAAACAAGTGTTGGTTTATTTAAAAAAAAAAAAAAACTATTGATCTGTTACTCAAAAGCCAATTCTTTAAAAAATAGTTCTTTTCTTGGATTGAGTTTCATTTTTTAAAGATTTATGTAATTTTTTATTTTGTGTGCATAAATGTTAGCCTACATATATAATATGTGCTGTGTGTGTGTGTGTGTGTGTGTGTGTGTGTGTGTGTGTGTGCATGTGTGCGCGCATTGCCTGAAGGAGCCAGGAGAGGGTATCAGATTCCCCTGAAACAGGAATTGCGACAGGTGATTTTAAGCTGCCATGTGGATGCTAGAAATCTAACCCAGATCCTCTTCAAGAACAACAAGCAATCTTAGTTTCTGAGCCATCTCTTGGGCTCCTGGATTTCCCGTTTTGTACTTAGACAACGCAGTTATTTTGTTAGTTCCTAAGCACTTACTGAGACTTGTCCACTTATGAAGTTACAATCCATTTCTGGGATTTGGGTGTGTGCACAGGAAAAGGCAGGTGCTGTGCCTGTCTGGAGGGCTCTCTCTGTGTGGCTCGGACTCCATGTCCCTCCCTTCCATTCTCTGGCTGTGCTGTCACGGTAACTGATCCATGTTTGTCCTGTTTCTTTTCACCTCGTTGTGTGTTTGCAGACACTGTACTGGCAGGCATGTTCACGTGTCTGGTGGCTAGATCTTTCCTTATGTAGAATGCTGTAATGCTTCGGTCTTTTCTTACACTCCTAATTGTTTTCCTCCCATAGCCGATGTCCTCAAAAGAAGCTTCAGGGAGTCAGCACTTACCTGCCACGAGTAGCTCGGACAGCACTTTCAAACAATGAGCTCCTGTATAAACATATAACTCAAAACTCCACACAGAAGTGGTCCAGAGGAGGCTGGGATGGAAATACCATCCACTCTCGACAGCCGTAGAAAAGCCAGTGCCACCAGAGCCACCAGCTTCAACCACAAGGTCACCAAGCGCCCTCCACAGCTCTGGCTTGAGACTCAAGCGGTGAATAAACTAACTCTTCACAGACTCGGCGCTGCTCATTTCAGTGTAAAGGAATCTCAAACACTGGGATTAGATTTTCTTTTTCAATCCAACAAGACTGAAAAGGAGGCTCTCCCTTTCCCCCTCAACCTCCTAATATAGAGTATACCAATGGTTTTCTATTAATTTAATAAAGAAGATATGATGCCACGGGAATCGGCTCAGTCAGTAGAGTGTAGCACACAGTCACGAGAACCTGAGTTCAGACCCTCTGTAAAAAGCCAGGCATGCAGAGAGGTTAAGAACACCACAAGAAGACACTCAGAATCAGCTAACCGGGGGCCCACGGGGGCTCACAGAGACTGGACGGCCAACCAGATTGCATTCAAGGCATGTAGCTTGATCTTTATGTGGGAACTCTAAGACAGTCACAGGAGTTGTCTTTAACTCTGTCACCTACTTTTGGGACACTTTGCCCCAATAGGGCTGCCTCACCTAGCCTCAGAAGGATAAGAGAGGCCTAGTTTTACTGCAACTTGATATGACAAAGCTGTTCGATATTCATGGGAGGCCTCCCCTTTTCTGAAGAGAAAGAGAGAAGGAGTGGATTAGGGGAGGGGAAAAGGACTGGGGGAAAAGGAGGTGTGATGGTTTGAATATGTTTGGCCCCAGAGTAGCACTATTAGGAGGTGTGGCCTTGTTGGAGTGGGCGTGTCACTGTGGATGTGGGCTTTAAGACCCTCATCCTAGCTGCCTGGAAGTGAGTATTCTGCTAGCAGCCTCCAGATGAAGATGTAGAACTCTCAGCTCCTCCTGCACCATGCCTGCCTGGATGCTGCCATGCTCCTCCCTTGATGATAATGGACTGAACCTCTGAACCTGTAATCCAGCCCCAATTAAATGCTGTCTTTATAAGAGTTGCCTTGGTCATTGTGTCTGGTCACAGCAGTAAAAACCTAACTAAGACAGGAGGGAGAACTGTTGTCAGGATATAAAGGTAAATACATAAATAATTTTTAAAATATATATATTCTGCCTGCATGTATGCCTGCAGTCCAAAAGAGGGCACCAGATCTCATTACAGATGGTTATTGAACCATCATCTGGTTGCTGGGAATTGAACTCGGGACCTCGTGATGAGCAGCCAATGCTTTTAACCTCTGAGCCATCCCTCCAGCCCGAATTAATTAATTTTTAAAAACAGGCATGATGATACATGCCTGTCATCAGGATCACTGTGGTTTGATGACCCTCTAGCCCTACCAAAATCAATGAGTTCCAAGCTCACCGGGGGACCCTAGCATAGCAAAGGTTACTATGGCTGTGATCAAGCATCTTGACCAAAATCAACTTGGAAGAAGAAAGTGTTTATTTCAGCTGACAGGTGTAGCTCACCGTCCAGGAAAGTCAGGGCAGGAACTGAAGCAGAGACTGTGGGGAGCACCACTTACTGCCTTGCTCCCCATACCTCCCTCAAGCTGCTTCCTCATACAATGAAGGAGCACCTGCCCAAGGGTGGCACCGCCCACAACGGGCTGGGCATTCCCACACCAATCATTAATCAATAAAACGTCCCTCAGTCTTACCCGTGGGAAAACTTATAGAGGTTTGTTCTAACTGGATAGTCTCTCTTCCCAAGTAACTCTAACATGTGTCAGGTTGACAGAAAAGAAACTAGCAAGTGAAGATCCTGTCTCAGAATATAAGGGGAGGGGCTGGGGAGACGAAGAGCAGTGAAGAGCCCTCATTGCTTTTTCGAAAGACCCAGATTCCATTCCTAGCACGCACACGGTGGCTTACAATAGTCTATCACTCCTATTTCAAGAAGCACAATGCCCTCTTCTGGCCTCTGTGGGCACCAGGCATGCCTTTACTGTACACACACACACACACACACACACACACACACACGTATACAGGAATGCCTTTACTGTACATACACACACATACATACACAGGAATGCCTTTAGTGTACACACACACACATGTACACCGGAATACCTTTACTATACACACACACGTACACAGGAATGCCTTTACTGTACACACACACACACACACATGTACACAGAAATGCCTTTACTGTACACACACATGTACACTGTGATAAAATACTCATATACACAAAATAATAAAAATGCCTGACCCAGAGGCCCTGCAGGTATGGCTTCTCTGTCACCTGTGCATCTGTAGCTGGCAGAAAGGAGGGAGGCTGTATCTACACTCAGTGTTCTGACCTTTGAACATCTGAATGATCAGTAGCCTAATACTCCCTGAGAAAAGAAAGCCCGAAGTGATCACCAGTCCAGTGCCAGGCAGGGCTGGACAGGTTTCTAGGACAGGGAGCAAGCCAGAGACTAGGAGAACCTCTCCTTGGACCATGGTCCCAGCGCAGGAGTAACCCTGGGCAGGACAATCTTTGCAAAGGGCCGCTGGGGTGGATTGGATGAGGAGCAAGCCAAAGATGACCGCCAGACTGGTGCCATAGGGCCCAGACAGGGAGGTAGCCTGAGACCAGTCTAGCATCATGCATTGGGAGGAGGGGCAGATCATGTCTGAGATGACCCCTGCCTGGCACCATAATGCACCAGCAGGGCACAGAACTCCTAAGACCACTCCTGAGATGACCCCAGACACTCAGAGACCGTAGGCACGCACCATTACTAGGAGCAATAAAGTGGTGGGTAAATACAAGAGAAAGAGAAACAGAAGGATAGGGGCACAATGAGAAAGACAGAACTGGAGACTTGAGGGTAGTGAGGAACAGCCTGGTGTGAGTAGCCTGTGATGCCACCTAGGACTATGGTTGGGTCCTGACGCAGGCTGCCACGGATAGCAACATTTGGGTTTGTGACCCTGCAGCAGCAGGGGTCTGTTACCACCCAAGGCTAGGCAGACATCCCTGGTCTAGGCTGCTGTCCTGACACATGTTAATGTCTGAGGGCTGTGTAGAAGTGGCCCCACTCCTCACTTGTGCATGGTGGGAAAGGTGGCCTTGGGGACATGTGAAGGGGAAGCTTCTAGAGATATCATGGGATGCAGACTCACATGGTGTTTTGCTGAGGCGAGACCTATGGGAGGACAGGTCTGGAGAGAGTATAAATAGGACCCAGTGGACAGTGCTTCCTTTGGTCTTGTGTGTTTGTTGATCTTTGCTTCATTGAGAGAGACACAACAGAGAATTTCTCCTGGAGTCCCTGATGGTCCTGGTCACTCCTTCTGACTCTTGCTGATATGGTGGAGGCTTGGCTGCTTCTTCTGAGTCATACCACTGCTGCTGGTTTGTGTTTGGTATCCTGACACTACTGAACTGGACTGCTGGTATCCTGACTAACGGAGATTGGAACCGCCCCATAGAACTACTTCCAAACAGGTCCACATCCCCTTGTACAGTTTACCATCTTTTCTCCCCTGCCATTGGACAGTGGGCTAGAAGGGGGATTGAAGCATTTGAGAACCCTTATTAAAAGTAGGTTTTGAGGGAGCTGGAGAGATGGCTCAGAAGTTAAGAGCACTGATTGCTCTCCCAGAGTTCAATTCCCAGCAAGCCACATGGTGGCTCACAACCATCTGTAATGGGATCCGATGCCCTCTTCTGGTGTATCTGAAGACAGCTACAGTATTTTTTTTTAAGTAGGTTTTGAAAAATCTAAGCCTACAGGTGGCACCCAATGGGGCTTAGGCATAATGGGTAATTCTACTTTGAATGTGGGGATGGAGACGTCAGGTTATGAGGGGTTAGCAATCTTCTTTAAGGAGGTTGGCAAAATAGCAGCTCCAGATGCTGGATAGGCTGCTACCTTGTTCCTGGGTGGGTGGGTGGGGGCGGCTTGGTTTTGTTTCGTGGTTTTCACGTACACTCTTTTGAAAAAGGTTGGAAGGAAAGCTGATAGTTCTCTTACGTTAGAGAAGATTGTGGATTTGGCTAAGCGCGTAGAGAGTTTGCAAACAGATGTAGAAGTGCTCTGGAAATAAAGAAAAGCCAGTGGAAAAACAGCAGGGTTCAGGCCTGAAGTCTGAGACCAGGAATGGACTGCAAGATGGAAAAGGGAAGCGAAACAGGTTGGAAGATTGACAGAGGGCTTGTAGTAACTACTTGGGTGAAATCAATAACAAATATCCAAAAAGCAAACATATATACAGTTTGTAAAAAGAACTAATTGGATTCTTCCACATGCAGTAAAGAGAACACCAATTCCAGAGGCACCAATATTTCATATGGATGCAAACAAGAAGGGGATGACAGGTGATAAACCTGATAGAGAAAGCAAGGTGCTCGAAAGTCCATATACCTCAGTTCAAAAATCAGAATTACGTGCAATCCTTGTAATATTATTAGATTATCCTGAATCTCTTAATACAACCACTGACTCTTTGTATGCAGAAAGAGTTGCTTTGCATACAGAGACTGCTGAATTTGTACCTGATAACTCAGAATTAACGTTGCTAGTTATACAATTACAACAGGTCATCAAAAGTAGAAATTATCTCTTATATGTTACTCATAGTTGGTCTCATACAGGTTTGTCTGGTCCATTAGCTCAAGGAAATGATGAAATTGATGAATTACTAATACAAAATATGTTAGAAGTCTCAGAATTTCATGAAAAGCATCAAATTAACAAGAGAGAATGAAAGAAAAAAATTTCCATCTCTTGGCAACAAGACTAAGAAATAATTTTTTTAAAGTCCCATGGGTTCTTTATATGACCATATTCTGTTACCTGCTGGTGGTAACCCTAGGGGTGCCAAAAGAAATGACATCTGGCAGTTGGATGTTTTCCATTTTGCAGAAGTTGGAAAGCAAATGTCTATACACCATATCACTGACGTGTACTTGAGGTTTCAAAGGACATTCGCTTTAAGTTCTGAAAAGGCTGATTGTCTAATTACACATTTATTGGAAATGATGGCAATCATGGGGATACCTGCACAAATTAAAACTGATAATGCTCCCGCATATGTATCCAATAAAATCAAACAATTCCTTACATATTACAATATAATGCATGCTACTGGTATGCCACACAATCCCAGAAGAGAAGCCAGTTGTTATAGAAAAAGCCAATTGTACCTTAAAAGAGATTCTTATTAATCAAAAAGAGAGAGTAAACCCCCCCCAGGGGCCGACTAAATAATGCATTATTAACTCTCAATTTTCTTAATGTTGGTAAAAAGGTAACAACAGCAGCTGAGAGACACAGGGTTATAGAAAAACCTGAGGACCTAGGCAAATCAATATGCTATAAGGATGTGTTGACGTTAGAATAACCTGCAATAGTTTTAAGGTGGGGACATGATTATGCTTGTGTATCTACAGGGGACGAAAAAATGCGGATACCAACAAAACTTCTAAAGATTAGATCTGACCGGGAAAACCTTTTATCAACTGAGACAAGAATGTCTTCACGAAGCAAATAAGCCCGGGTGGTTAACTCTCAGAGACTGTCTCATATCAGCTTCAAAAGGGATAGCCCAAATGATCGATAACACGGAGACTGCACAACACATAGACTTGACTTATTATTCAAAACCTACTTACTAAAAATAGGTTTTGGAAAATCTTTTTTTTTTTTTTTTTTTTTTTTTTTATTATTGGATGATTTATTTACATTTCCTATGTTGTCCCCTTACCCCATCCCCCACCACCCCCTCGGAACCTCCAATCCCCTCGCCCCTCCTCCTTCTTCTCTGTGGATGTAACCTCTATCTACACCCCCCCCACTCCCACCTCCCCACCCTCAAAATTCCCACCCCCTGGGGCATCCAGTCTTCATGAGGTCAAGGTTCTCTTCTTCCACCTATGCCCAGCAGGGCCCTCCACTTTTACATATTCAGCTGAAGCCCTGGATCCCCCCCTAAGTGCTCCCAGGCTGGTGGTTTAGACCCTGGGAGCTGTGGTTGGTTGGTATTGTTGCTCTCCTCATGGTGCCACAAACCCTTTCAGCTCCTTCAGTCTTCACTCTAACTCCTCCATTGAGAACCCCATGATCAGTTCAATGGCTAGTTGTGAGCATCTGCCTCTGAATATGTCTGACTCTTGAAGGCCTCTGAGGAGATATCCATATCAGGCTCTTATCAGCATGCACTTCCTGTCTTCCACATCAGCATCTACCTTTGGTGATTGCACATGGGATAGATACTCAGGTGGGGTGGTCTTGAGACGGCCCCTCCTTCAGTTTCTGTCCCTCACTTTGTCTCCATATTTGCTCCCTTGAGTATTTTGTTGCTCCTTCTAAGAAGGACCGAATCACCCTCACTTGGTCTTCCTTCTTTATGGGCTTCATGTGGCCTGTGAGTTGCATCTTGGGCATTTCAAGGTTCTAGGCTAATATCCAATAATCAGTGAGTGAATACCATGTGTCTTCTTTTGTGATTGGCTTACCTCACTCAGGATGATAATTTCTAGTTCCATCCATTTACCTAGGAACCTCTCGAATTCATTGTTTTTAATAGCTGAGTAATACTCCATTGTGTAAATATACCACATTTTTTGAATCCATTCCTCAGTTGAAGGACATCTGGGTTCTTTCCAGCTCCTGGCTATTATAAATAAGGCTGCTATGAACATAGTTGAGCATATGTCCTTGTTATATGTTCGAGCATCTTCTGGGTATATGCCTAGGAGTGGTATAGCTGGATCCTCGGGTAATGCTATGTCCAATTTTCTGAGGAACCGCCAGACTGATTTCCAAAGTGGTTGCACCATCTTGCAGTCCACCAACAATGGAGGAGTGTTCCTCTTTCTCCACACCCTCGCCAGCATCTACTATCACCTGAGTTTTTAATCTTAGCCATTCTGACTGGTGTGAGATGGAATCTCAGGGTTGTTTTGATTTGCATTTCCCTGACGACTAAGGATGCTGAACATTTCTTTAGATGCTTCTCGGCCATTCGAGTTTCTTCCGTTGAAAATTCTTTGTTAAGCTCTATACCCCATTTTTTAATAGGGTAATTTGGTTGTCTGGAGTCTAATTTCTTGAGTTCTTTGTATATATTGGATATTAGCCCTCTATCAGATGAAGGATTGGTAAAGATCTTTTCCCAATTTGTTGGTTGTCGTTTTGTCCTATTGACAGTGTCCTTTGCCTTACAGAAACTTTGCAATTTTATGAAGTCCCATTTGTCAATTCTCGATCTTAGAGCATATGCCATTGGAGTTCTGTTCAGGAACTTTTCCCCTGTGCCCAAGTATTCGAGGCTTTTCCCCACCTTCTCTTCTATTAGTTTCAGTGTATCTGGTTTTATGTGGAGGTCCTTTATCCACATAG